AAAAGGATTACCTCCACTCCTCTCCAGCCAGCCTAGAGAGGGGCAGTCTGTCTTAAAGGCTTGCCTGGGTGTGTCCTTGATGGAGACAGTCTCAAAAACTCACTGCCTTGAGTCAATGTCAACTCTCAGCAACCCCAGAGGAAAAGGTAGAACTGCCCCTGTGAGCTTCTGAGACTGTAACTATGAGAGTAGAAGGGCCTGTCTTTCACCCCAGGAACGCCCATTGGTTTCGAACAGGACAGGAGGCCAAATAGTCACCAGTCATGCTCTATGGGTCTTACCCTGACTGCCTTGTCGGAAGGCCTGACCCAGACCAATCTTGTAAGCAATTCTAGCATAATGTGTTTGCCATTGATGGCCCTGTTCCCACTTCTGTAGTGCCACCTATAACCGTGATGTAGTGATCTGCCACCAATCGTGTACTTGTAACAGTCCCTATTGTTCCATGCCCTGTTTCTCCAGCGTCCTAACTGTGGGTCCTTGGACGCCATTATAACCTCTCGTGCTAATTGCCTCCCTCAACCAGATGATGTGTCTATTTCTTTGTGTTGACTCTGTCTCTTTTAAGCCTTAACAAATGTTTTCCTTAAATTATATTTGAGATTGGAGTCTCTCTCTTTTTTCGTTGTTAAATACTTTTATTGGGGGCTCATTACATCTCTTATTACAATCCATACATTCATCCAGTGTGTCAAGCACATTTGCACATATGCTGCCATCATCATTTTCAAAGCATTCTCCTCCCACTTGAGCCCCTGATATCAGCTCCCCATTTTCCCCCTCCCTCACCCACCTGCCCTCCCTCATGAACCCTTGATAAGCTATAGATTATTATTTTCATATCTTACATTGTCCCCTGCCCCTCACCCACTTTTCTGTTGTTCGTCCCCCTGGGAGGGGGTTATAGGTTGATCCTTCTAACCAAAGTCTCTAACTCCCACCAAATGACCTTTCGTTGCATCTGGTAAGAAGGTAGGGGCAGATACTGATGGATTCACCTTTGAGTAAAGGCAAATAAGTTTCCTTGGAGAACCATCTTGGTATGAATAAAATGAGCCTGCTGAGAAGTAG